GTAATTAGACGGTGGCACAACAACAGATGCCACATTTAGAACACTACGGACCTTTATATGCGGTGTCTTAACTTGGACTCGAGAGTAAATTCATGTTTCTATCGGGTCAGATCGGGCAAGGCATGGTGACAATGCACTTTCCATGGTAAACATGGATATTCTCAAAATTTCAGGAGCGGGTAGGGTTAGTCCACGTAAGCATCTAAAACACTCATAGCATAGGTATTAACTAAAAGTCCAGACACGTGTTTTCCCGATATTCTTCCGCTGAATAGCACAGCGGCGAGGGGTTCGGCTCATCAATGGGTCCCTCAGCACACCTTGTGTTCTTTCCAGTAGATACTCCAGTTTTGAAAATGCATCTTTTTAATTTCTTCAGAAATTAATTTATAATCTAGGTTGGATCAATATATTGAAGGTGCGAATAAAGCTCTTCTTTCAGCGATCGCCTCTGCTCCTTCTCATTTACGTCTACTGTTTACTAACACACGTCTACCAACATCCAATGCGCTGCTCCAAGCGATGAAATAAACCGCGTGCTCACAGACCGGGCACATTACTCAAAAAGTACGTGCGAATTAGTTTATAATGAAAGACACTGGCACAGCGTCTAACAAGTGCTCTACCTCCTCACTTACCTGACTCCAAAGTTAAGGCGAAATGCCAAGACGACCATAGCCAGGCACGAGGAAAACCGAAAGCTATTCTTTCTTCGAATATAAAATTTGAAGAAGGCGTAACTTGCTACCAAACGGGCATAAGAAAGAATACTTTTGTTCATTTATTTTGTAACTTACCATACTAACAGCCTAGGTACTAGCTAAAAGACCCAGACACAAGTTTCGCCAGTATTCCGCCGCTTCTTGACACAGGTCTGGCTCATCAGTAGATCCCTCCGCTTTCCCGATTTGCTTTCTGGTTAATATACCGGTTTTTAAAGTTCAGCTTTTTAATTTCTTGAGAAATTCATTTCTGTTCGCGGTATACATCAGTATATTTAAGGTCTATAGGTGTAGACCGAAATGGTAGGTGTATATTTGGGCTGAAACCGGGCAACCACTGCAAAATGTGCACTTGCTTCTAACAAACAGACTTCAGTAGTATATATTGACAAAATGAACTTACAACAAGTCTGATGATGTAGGGTGCGGGCTGCACACCCAAATCTGTGAGGAGATTGATTATTTGTTTCGCAGCTCGTGTGAGTATATCTTTGTGATCGGGCTTCATGTTGCGATGAGCAAGCATGTAGTCGACGATACGATGGTAGCCCTTTTTCAAAGTGTAGAGCATGAAGAGTGTGCATTCATCTATGAGCGGAAAGTTTCTGAAGAAGGAAAAGAACTAATCGCTCATATGATGTGAAGAGGACGGATTGATTATTCGAAACGACAAAGTAGATAATTTGTTGTTTGGCTGCACAAAACACGAAAAATTCTAGTAACGCTGCGGAATTTGGCTGCTATGGAGGATGGCGGATTGGGGTGCCTTCAACCACTTATGGCGGGCTTTTCGTGTAGTAGTCATTGTACCATCGTTGAGTGGTCGTTATCAGACATAAACAAATATTTATGATGAACGACCGATCGCCTCCCTCTCTCCGTCTCACACATGTACTTCCATAACCAAATTACAAGCTTTTCAAACTGAACCGCCCTTTTTGCTCCGTCCATTCGCATGTAAATTTT